CTTCAACACGGAAACCAATGTTATCACCAGGTAAAGCTTCTGCAAACCAAACAAAACAATTTCTATTTCAGCTAACTAAAATAAACCGTACCGTTAATACTCTCATGACATATTTGGATTGATGTGACTTCTGTTTTGATATTTGATAGAGCAAACGTGATCTTCATATCAGTCTTGAGTATACCACTTTCAACGCGACCCACAGGCACTGTAAGAACTCCACCAATTTTATATACATCCTGGATAGGAAGTCGAAGTGGTTTTTCGCTTGGCCGCTGTGGTGGAATAATTGCATCAATAGCTTCCATTAGAGTTTTTCCTGTAACATTACCTTTTTTACGTTCAACTGTCCATCCTTTGTACCAAGGGATGTTTTCTGATGATTCGATCATGTTATCACCGTGCGAGGCAGATAGTGGAATAAAAGCAACACTTTCTGGTTGATAGCCAATCTTCTGTATTTGTGTCGATAATTCATTTTTTATTTCATTGAATCGTCCTTCAGAAAATGATGGATCTGTTGCATCCATCTTATTCACAATAACGATCATTTGTTTGACACCTAAGTTGTACATAAATAGAACATGTTCAAGAGATTGACCATCCTTGGAAATACCGACTTCGAATTCACCTAAACTAGCAGATACGACCAACAATCCACAATCAGTCTAATACATATTATATATGAACAGTTATCTAACATACAAGTAGATACGTACCTGGAAAGCATCTGTAATCATGTTCTTAATAAAATCTTGATGACCTGGTATATCAGCGATGGTAACATAGTATGCTTTCGTCTCGAATCCAGTCTGCGGAAAACATAAGCAGATAGCGCGTTCTTGTTCACGTTTTAGTCTATCCATAATCCATGCATATTTTGACTTAGTTTTACCTATCTAACAATCATTGTAAATATATCATTACATAAGTCTTATCTAACTAAAAAAATACCTCAGCAGCCTCTTTTTCATATCGTTCAACAATTCGATTATCAATTCCACCGCATTTGCACATGAGATGTCCAATACAAGTCGATTTGCCCGAATCAACATGACCAAGGATGACAATATTAATATGTCTCTTTTCTTTATCCATTTGTTCGCAACAAAACTTTGTTAATCTACAATCAAACGAATAGTTACAACATAAACGGACTTTTTTCTTTGTGTATGTGAAGGAAGAACAAAAATCTTGTGCAACTACTACTAATATTAAGTATGTAAAGCATATTATAGCATGTAATTACGAAATATTATTTGATGATGATAACAGATTTCGAAACTACGCTGAATAAAACGAAAAAGAAAAGAGAACGAATGCATCGCCCATTCACGAGCTTTGCTTACTCTCTCATATTAAAGTTAATAAGTTTTCAAAATATAAAATAAAAACAAGACTAACTATCGTAATGAAAGTATTGTTAAAATTTATCTAGAATTAAGAGAAAAATGTCAAATGTTATAGCACGTCAACAATACACTGTATTAGTCGACATTAATACGAAGCCAAAGATGAAAGCTTAAACAATGATAGTGTTTGAGAGAAACTTTCTGAAACCTACATCTACTAGCAACATATCTTTCAAATGATATAGGTTGATGAAAATTAGTTTATTAATGATAATCGACTGTATAGAGCAACTTTAACTTGTCAACCTTCAATATATGTTATTACTGGTGTGGAAAAAAAATTCCGTCGTGCATTCGAAGATCGTTATTTGGATCATATAGCATTCATACATGGCGACATTATTGAATAAAGATAGCCAATTATGGAAAGCAATAGAACGTATTGCAAAAAACTAACAAGAAAACAACTCATCAGCTCGAATAGTTTTACTACTTGAATATCTGATAGTATAATTAGCATATTTCTTAGAAATTTTATTTACTCTTCTTGTCCTTTACATGTGTAATTTTTAAATACTCCATTCAATTACTTTTTTTTGTACATAATGACCAAGAAAACTGTTTCAGTAAGATTTTTTTTCTCAATCTGTAGTAGTGTGCACGTCAATGAATAATCAACCAACCGCATCTTTCACGGACCTAGTTTTATAATCTTTCTGTAGAAGCAAAAGTAAGCAGACAGTAGATGTAATCATTACAATTCGTCGAGGTCGCGATGAGTCTTTCGAAAGAATGATTATCATTTTCTAATTTCGCAATAAAATGACTCATTGCTTGTTACTTATTAACTCACTGATTTTGTTTTATGTTTGATGACATCTAAAAGAGCATACAAAAATGTGATCATGTATTCTTACTCAGAGGTAATACCTTATCTAATGAGCGTTTAGTGACGAGAGATTATTGCTAATTGCAATCTACTACTAATGCTTCACATTGATTTTAGGTCAATGTAATTTTTCCTGCTTCTTTGGAAGCGTCTAATCGCAACAAAAATGAAAAAAATAGAGAAAAAAAACTTCAAATAAATGAGTATTTCATTCAAATTGCGAAATTATTCCTAATTTATTTATTTTTGAAACTCAAGTTTTACATATTTCTTTTGTAAATCAACGAATGATTTTATTGTAGCAATCGATACTAAATAAAGAGATAAATCACGAACATGCTCAGGATTCAATGCAGCTAATATTATAAGCACGAAAAATCTTATTCTATTTGTCATATAAATCAATTTTCTTTTCTTATTGTGCAATATAATTCTTGATTTTATTATTCAACGTCTTTTGTTAGATAATACCTGATGATTTTTGTTCACATTCATTGTCTAAAGTAAACTAAGCCAACTCATTAGGCTTTTCGCTATTCTTATTGTTGAATATTAGAAAATATTTCTTCTGTATTCTATATCTCAATCGTACATTAGTTTCGTACAGGATACTTTAATAATTCTTACTACTGTTGGCATCAAAATATAATGAATTTCGATATTTTAGAAATATCTCGAGAATGGTCGTACCTAGAGACCTATGTTTTTTTCCATGCAATAGGGAAATATGAGGATATCTATTGATACTAAAAAAATTTTGTGGTTAATTGATCGAGTGATCAGTAAGTGTTCGAAAATAAGTCAATCATTGGAATTCAAAAATTTTCCACTACACTTTTAATTTTGATAATGAAATTCTATTTGTGAGATATTTGTTTTCCTTTTCTGTATGTTTTAAAACTTTGTCTTGTTCTGTTCATCAGTTGCTGGACAGAGTCAATAAAACATGTAAAATCATTAAAAAGGATCCTTTTTGTCTATGAAATCATTGCAAAATTTCGTTTCTGTACAGGCTTTCGACCCTATAAATTTAATGGTATTATCTATTTCAGGAAAAATTTTCTTTCTAATGTTTTGACTGATTACTTCGTCTAACAAATTCATTTAATGTTGGTATTGTTATATCACCACATCGCATTATTTCAGAATTTATTCGGCTTGAAACATTAACTCTTGATAATATTAAATTAAGGGTGTGGGTATGTAGGTGTTAGTATCTTCATAATACTCACAATCACACTCATAGCCTTTTAATTAATTCATGTCATTCATAAGAAATTTATTTATTTCAATCTTATTTTTCTCTAATATTCGTTAGATTAAGAAAAATTTCTTATCTTTTTATTTACCAAATATTCGATTCTCCTTCAAATCATTCATTTTCTATTCACTACAAATATTTAATAAAACAAATTTTCCAATTCGATTATTTCTACATCTATGACAAACATATTTTCATAACTATCGAATGTCATAATATGTGAATAACTTAACTAACAATTGTTACCATCAAAAACCATGACAATAATTGGATAACTAAGTCTAATCATAGGAGTTCTTCTTTCATTTAATTCTTCTGATCGAAAACAGTAGAATTTCATGATTAAAGAATTCTACTACATATAAAACAAAATTATTATTAACAAATATTCCCCATGAATAATAAAATATTTTTAAGACTGATCGGTTTAGTACGATTTCTACGAACAACTGTTGATGTATTTGAGTTATCATTCAATGATTTTGTAACAACATGATGAAGATCATCCAT